ATAGATCTATATATATATATATATATATATATATATTTTTTTTTTTTTTTTGCTTAGCGTGTCCACTATTCTGTTTACAATAGCTCTGCAATTTAGAGACTTGTTTTCCATGAGCTGTGACCTGTGACCATGGAATGATAAAGTGTAAAATTATGAATGCATTGTATTTTCCATTAACATTTTGTGAACTGACACCTGCTGAAACCACATAAATACAGGGAATACATGGTTGATCTAATTGGGAAGCCAGGTTGCTTATGCGAGCCTGATTCCTTGCTCAATGGTCCATCTTCCATCTCATTTTCTTCACCCTTGCGCTTTTCAAGACTTAAACCAGCAGAACCTACCATTGATTTCAGGTCACTGGCCAAACAATATTTCTCGGATTGTATGTCTGCCAAGCTTGTCTTTGATAGTGTTCCTGCAGGTGATATTCATGTTTCCTATTCAATGTATGATGCTCTAAATCTGAGCTTCTGATATTATTGCTATCATGTGTCTTGGTCTACTTAATGCTTATTGTTGAACTGTTCAAATTTTTTTGATCAACTCGTCCTTGTTCTTTTTATTTATTTCTATTTTAATGATGGAATAATTTTTATGCTCACTCTCCATGATCAATTTGTCTAACCTCCTAATTCAGTACGGACTTTAATAATGTGTTTCAGTTTTCTTATTTCAATTGAATTGTATGATTTGTATCCCTTTGCTGTTTTTTTTTTTAATTTTACTAAGTGAACAGATTGCACTTGTTGCTATATTTGTTTCTTGTATTATTTGTTGACTGTAATAAATTCTTCTTCTTTTCAATATAAGAAATCCCAAGCATTTGGTTGTCCAAGTTAAAAAAAAAGGATTTTGGTTCTACAATGATGTTCCAACTTCCATGTTTATTATACTATTGTGGATACTTAACTTGATTTCTCAATCTGGAATTGGAAGAACAATTCAAGTGGCTTAGTCGAGCCTATTGAATGCCATTATCAATTCCTGTTTAGTTTTTCTGAAGAGAGGGGCTAAACATGTCAAATTTTTTTCTTTGCAAACTTGAATATTGTCATTATAGTATTTCTTTAAATACATATAATATAACGTCTGATCAATTTGATGTTAAATAAACTTCTGAGCTGGTCAATGTCTAGAATAATACCAAAAAGCATGAACCATGTATGGATTTTTATGTAGTTAGTTTTATCTTAGTTGTAGTTTAACATTCTATTCCGTTTTGTCCACATGCTGAAAGCTACTTATGTCTGAATAATTTTTATAACTAGATGCAAGTATAGGAGACTCTGAATTTTGTAAAACTGTACCTGTTATTGATGGAGATTTTGGATTTTCCTTTCCAGAACAGTATGAAAGGCAGCACAGGGACCAGAACCCTGGACCAATTCCAGTTGATAACAGAAGTTCTCTTGTTCCTTTGCATCCACAAGCTTATCATTCAAGCACACATGATCGAGGATCTGAAACATATAGAGCAGGTAACCCTCCTCAGAAATTTGTGGTTCCAACAATTACAGCCAAGGATTCATTGCCTTCAAAACAAAACCGCCCTGGTCATAGAGATACACAAACCCGGCTACTGATTCCTAGAAAACCAACTAGAGAGTTTGCCCTTGATATGGAGGATTTGGACATACCATGGACTGATCTTGTTTTAAAAGGGAGAATAGGATCAGGTATGTATGCTCTTCTATAATTTGAATACTGTTTTAAGGTCTTGCTTTTTTTCTTTTTTTCTTTTTTTTCTTTTTCTGTTGTTCAAGTAGGGTGGGTGAGCATTTAGAAGAAAAACATTGAGATAGAGAGCACAGTCAAGGTAAAAAATAAATAAAAAGGAAGATAAGGTAGTACCAATGAAAAAACACACATACACAAAAAAAAAGAGTGAGCTTATCGATGCAATAAAGCTCTCCAATCCCTCTGCCTATCAAACTGGAAGAGCTTCTGTTAAAAGAAGTCATGGTTCAGTGTATCAAAGAGAAGTCATTTGACTCATAGCTTTAGGATAATGATCCTTTGACTTGTTTATGAGAGAAGTAGGAATGTTGCTATGGGTAAGGAGGCAACATTGGTGGGATAGTGTAATAAAATGTACACACGACAACAAGGTATTGGGGGGGATAATAAGCAAGAACTTGGATCCTCTTCTGTTCTTAAATAACAGGACATGGTCCAGTTGGTAGAGAATGACACAAAGGAAAAAATATAATTAGTGGGTCTTATAATCAATCATGGTGGTTCTTTTCTTGTGTCTTTCACTCTCCAACAAGTCCATATCATGTGCAAGAAAGGATCCAAATCCATGTGCAATGATGGGAAACGTTAATAAGAAGGGGTTTGAAAATAATGAGGACTGGAGAGGCTTAACAAAATTACGGGATTGAATTGGTAGCATAGGCCGAGGAAGGTAGAGTCTCTATATCAGCTGTTTGTAATCTTCTATTGCTGCATTTTCTGCATTTCTGTCCATTAACCATTTTTCTGTTCATTGAGCAATACTTTTTCCCTTGTATTATAAAAGATATCTCCTCCTTGAGTTCTATCCTATTTTCATTACATAACAACGTGCCTTTGAAAATATGAGCGTTGTGTCCCTATGAAATACACTAGAGAACTGCAAAATTACCACATCACCACAAAAATTTCCAATGCTCCCACCAAATCCTTTTGAAGTTAACCAATAAAAAACTGAGTTTATGTTAAGAACACAATATTTAATTAATTACTAGAATTACATGCTTCCTGTGGCATGATATGCAATTGGTATCAATTGTCATTAATTAAATTTGATATGATATATTTTCAGGTTCTTTTGGAACTGTACATCATGCTGAGTGGAATGGCTCGGTAAGCCCATCTCTCTCTCTCTCTTTTTCTTTCATTGAGGCTGTATGAAAAATAAGATTAACTCGTGGTTGTTTATTTTTCCATGTCTCTATTAGTTGTGTTTTCAGCATCCATGTCATTGTATCTTGCAAATTCAACTAAATCACGTGCAGTTAGTATATTGATATGTGAATAACATCTCTGTCTCTATATCCATACAATAGTCACAAATTCTAAAAGTGGTTTCTAATTCCATTCAATATTTGTGATTTGTGAAAGCTTGTTTCATAAGCATTTGATGCTTATAGATTATATACAGGAAGGAATGATAAAATCATTGATGTGACACCCTCTATCTTGAATGCTAATATACTCATATAATATAAAAGAGATAATAAAAGGGTTTAAATAAACTTTAATAAATGGAAAAATAGTTGGCAAAACCTCTTTGATAGAGGAATTCACATTTGTAAAACATGAAACCAAAACTGGAGGAAATACTAAAACCAAGTGACTAACCAAAGTCATTACAAGCAAAAGAACTAACATAAGGTCCTAAAGATAACATAGTCTCAAACTAAAACATAAATCCTAACTATGAACTTTGATGTCACATCCTACCAGAACTCAACCCATTAGCAAAACACAAGGTCTAATTCTCATCATAAACATCATCATCAAGATGATCCTCACCCACAAAGCACACAAAGAACCACAATAATGAAAAAGGGGAGTGAGAAACATCTCACTTTGACTATCACTGTGAGATATAGCTAGATAGCAACACAAATAGTAACATAAAATAAACATATCAACTAGATCAACATAACATTAAAAGCAACTGTAACTTAAGAACAACTTAACATATCAACAAGTTCATGGTTAACGCAGATGCAATAGACATGAACTTCTCTATTCTACATGCATGTGGCGTAAATAAAACACTTTATCCCTGCATGAAGGCATGCATAGAGTAGCTTAAGAGAACATGTCGGGTCAAGCCATCACAACAATCTACACTAGAAGGAGATACACCAGGATGCATCGAGACAACAGTGTTGCACAAGTTTCACTTCATGCACACAAACTCGTGGAATCGGGGCTCCTAAACCTAGTTGTCCCCAAGGTCATGAATCTCAAAGCTTACACAAGGGGGACTTTCCTTGACAGCCTTCACACAAAATACTTTATGCATATGATGCATGTCACATGTCGCACACAAGACCCGATGCATAGTTCATATCACATGTGTTCATCACAAGTCAAATTATTCATATATCATCAATACACATTTCACTACTAGGCATCACAACGAGACTTTACCCTGACTAAGCCTCAACTTAAACTTCACGTCACATGATCATCGCATGGTCCACACATATAAATATCATACATCTCCATTAACAATCTCAAAAGATAAGCAAAATAATCAAATTCACCCTTAATCTACTCAAAGTTCATCACTTAATCACTATCTTTCTTCGCTTAATATCAAGGATCACACTTCTAGTTAGATACCTCCAAACAACCCCAACATATTCAATTATAAGCACTCACTCTTAAATAGGGTGGTGCCCAACAAGGAACATCCTATGCCTGGTGCAAGACCCACAGAGAGAACACATTGCTCTTTAGAGGTCCCTCGTCCAACGTGGCTACACTCACGCCTAACAAATTAGCACTACGGAGCCCCTGGAGCTCCCACGTTTGACATATGAGCCGTAGAGAACAGCCTATGCTCTCTATTGCTCTATCACACCTAGTGACACCACAATGGTGCTTGATGCCATACCAATTCAAAAGAACTTGTAGAAAGAGTGAAAATCGCTCAAGGTTAATCCAATACTCAAAAGTCAAAACATCCAATCCAATCGATAAAAACCTCAACTAAAGCCTACTCTTATACAATTATACCATCAATTCACTCAAAACAACAATTTCATGTGCATCCTTCAAATAACATGAATCTTCAACCTACTCTATAACAAGGTTTCCAATAGGAACTATGAGATCTCATAGGTTAACAATTTACACCAATTGATCTATACTTTTCAACATCCACAATACAATTATCATTCACAAAGCATAGAATAAACCTATAAAGCATAGATTCACCAAATACAAGTTAGAATTTGGGGTTTCTTCCACCAAATACAAGTTAATACTTACATTTGTTTAATACATCTCTTTCGCTCTCTACCTGTTTGTTGCATGTGTTTGTTAATTTGTTGTATTTACATCTGTCAAAATGTTAAGCACTGCAGGAGGTTGCTGTGAAAATTCTGATGGAACAAGACTTCAAAGGTGAACGCTTCAAAGAATTCCTAAGGGAGGTATACTAAAAAATACTTATCTTGTTTTGTGCAGAAAAAACACCAATTGTATATCAAGTTTTGCTTGTTATTGATTTGAACTATATTTTCACCTTTTTCTAGGTTGCAATAATGAAAGGCTTACGGCATCCTAACATCGTTTTATTGATGGGTGCAGTCACTAAGCCTCCTAATTTATCAATTGTCACAGAATATTTGTCAAGGTTTTATAATATCTCATCTTCCTTTATCTTTCCCCCCTCTAAGTGGATCTCTTTTCATGTCTATAAGATATCTTACAATTGAGATCTGAAATATTTGATTGAACTAAGTGTAGGGGTAGCTTGTATAGGCTGTTGCATAAACCGGGCGCCACAGAGATGTTGGATGAGAGACGTAGGCTAAGTATGGCGTATGATGTGGTAAACTTTCAGAAAATAAATATTATTGCTTTTGTTTCTATTTATTTTTTGAATAAATATGGTGTCATAACATTTGTATCCATTGGTTGAGTATTAGTCATTTTCATGTGTAGGCTAAGGGGATGAATTATCTTCATAAACGCAATCCTCCCATTGTGCATAGAGATCTGAAATCTCCAAACCTTCTTGTTGACAGGAAATATACAGTGAAGGTAAGAATGAAATTTTATCATGTCTGAAAAATTGTTGAGAGTTTCATTTAATCCATCAGTTAACTTTGGCAGTATGGGGTTCCACTTCTCCAGCACACACAAGTTCCCTTCTACAATCACGAGCCTAAATTAAATCATCAAGCTTCAAATCATATTTGTGTATGCTAGCATGAAAGCACTAAGATAGTCCATGTTGAATGACACTGTTTAGCCATCATTTGTTTTGAACTTTTTGTGAACTTGTGAAAGAAATATAGTAAAACTTGGTCTATACATGGTTTATAGAAGTTTCAACGTTCAGCTAATTAGATGGGCTTAATTTGTGATAGAAACTGGATCAGAAATGGAAGAAAATTAAACTTTGTTGGTTAACTGTATCCTATGCTGCATAGATATGATAATGATATGATTATTTTAGAATATATAGCATACAATACATATAAAATACATGTCTAGATATGTATCATATTCACAAAACATAATAAAAATATAATTGTAATTTTGATCAAAATTCATAAAATATAATCAATATATAATAGCAATTTCACAAATTATAATTCATTATCATAAATAACTTCCTATTATTTACAAATAGGAATAATACTATCAATCTCATTTCTTTCTTGAAAGAAGATAATTTCCATTTTTGGTTCATCAAGTGACAATGTTTCGGAAAAAAAGAAGGGAAAGAACCTTAGAACCCCTAATACCATATAGGAATTGCGGGGATTGTGTATGTGATCCACACACATTCAACTTTATCTATAATCAAGTAATGAATTACAATTAAGTAAATAAAGAAGGACAATAAAGAAAAGGATACCTAATCCCAAATTTTTAGCTTTACAGTTTTCATATTTTCATATCTTTAACAGTTTCTATGTTTCTATATTACACATGTTTATATGTCTCATGTAACTATATTAGATTTTATAATTTTTTAAATGGTTGGATACTTCATTGATACATATAAATAGTGTATTGGTGAAGTATCTAAGAGTATTGATAATAGATAAGATTCTCATAAGTTTTTTAAAGGCTTGGATGCTTCATTGATATGTATCGGTGAGACATCCATGAGTATCGTTATCAATGCGTGAAGTAAATTGAAGTATCGGTGCTTTATAGAGTGTATCTGCACAATGGAATTCCCTGGATATTCAAGAGATCCAGGCCTCTCCCATTTCTCAATTCTTCTTTAAATGACTAGATATCATTCCCTCATGTTTCCATATTACACATGTTTATGTGTCTTATGTAACTATGTTAGATTTTATAATTTTTTAAATGTTTGCATACTTCACCGATACATATCAATAAGGTGTATTGCTGAAGTATCTAAGATTATTGATAATAGATAAGATTCTCATAAGTTTTTTAAAGGCTTGGATATTTCATTGATACATATTGGTAAGGTATCTAGGAAATAGGAATATCGGTATCGGATACGTGAAACAAATTGAAGTATCAGTACTTCATAAAGTGTATCTCCACAATGGAATTCCCTGGATATTTGAGAGATCCATGACCTCTCCCATTCTCAATCCTTCTTTACCAAATGACTAGATATCATTCCCTCTTATTTATAGGCAACATAGCTTATTTCTTCAACCGACTAACTTAACTAACTCCCTCACTAACAGGAAACTAACTATTAATGGGTATCTATCATTTTGATTCAAATTTGACAACAATCAATTTAATAATTGAGCTACATGTGCAGCGTCTTAGCAAATTTTATTTTATGGGATGGTGAGTTGGTGGTGGTGCTCGGGCATTATTGGAGTAATTTGAATTGTCACAGATCCTTATTTATTATACGTTGCCTTTAGGTTGGTGATTTTGGGCTTTCTAGACTAAAGGCAAACACATTTCTCTCATCCAAGTCAGCTGCTGGGACTGTGAGTTTACTTTAAAAACACATGTATCTGTTTTTTGTATCTTATGTTTCAGAGGTCATTGTTATTATTGCACATTTAGTTGAACTCTTTTTTCTCTACTAGCCTGAATGGATGGCTCCAGAAGTTCTTCGTGATGAGCCATCCAATGAGAAGTCAGATGTTTACAGCTTTGGTGTCATCTTGTGGGAGCTTGCAACACTGCAACAGCCTTGGAGTAATTTGAATCCACCACAGGTTCGCGTTCGCCATATAACTTTGATATATTTCAATGTGCTTATGCTTGGATTTTCTATTACAATTATATTGCTTTGATTTTTATGATCTGATGATTGTAAATATATAACATCAAATAGAATGCTATTGGTAATAGAAATCTAAAAATGACTGCAAGAAATGTATATTGGTCAAAGCATGTTTTACAATGGCCAGTGATAACAAGATGTGTCTCAATGGTGTGCCCAAGTGTGCTTTTTGGAGTGTTATTCTGTTTCATGTTGTCCTGTTATCAACATATAATTGTACTGTGACTAAAATTTGCACCAATATTTGTTTCTATTTTTTGACTTTTGGACTATCAGGTTATCACTAATGTGTTAGATGCAGGGCCTTTTGTATTACATAGTCTTCACAAATCTGTAATGTTTTCTAGGTTGTGGCGGCTGTTGGCTTTAAGGGAAAAAGACTTGAGATACCACGTGATTTAAATCCTCAATTAGCCTCAGTAATTGAGGCTTGCTGGGCCAAGTGAGTGCAGATACATCTTTCATATGCAGTCTGCTTCAATATTCTGCGTGAATTTTATTGATGTCCATGGCTTACTGTGCAGTGAACCCTGGAAACGCCCTTCTTTTTCAAGTATTATGGATTCTTTGAAAGTATTACTCAAACCCCCTGCACCTCAACCTGGTCATCCAAACATGGCATTACTACCTGAATAGTTTGATTCATGGTTGTTATTCATGCACATACTACAGAATTTTATTAGTTTTGATGTCCGGAATACACTGTTTCAATAGTCCAAGGTGCGTACCAAATTTCATAATGACTTTGCATAGCATTAAATCTTGCTTGGACTTAGTATTTTTCTATATTATTTTGTGTTTTAAGGGGAAGGAATGATTATCAATTTTCTAGTGGGGACACTCTTTGAGATATGTTGTGTTATGAATCATATTAAAAGCTACAATTCTTAGGTAGAGGTGCATGAATTATTTTATGTTTATAATTGTTGGAGATCCCACAATGATTAGTGGTATGGCCAAATTAGTGACTTAGTGTATATAAGTGGGGATCAATCCTCAAGCCGATTTTGTAAGACTAAGTTAAGATTAACCTAACTCAACATTACAAAACTGGTTTATAAGATGGGGATTGTTCTACATTTATATATTACATTTTGGTCATACCACTAGTGGGATCTCTAACATACCATCACGTCAAGGACCGAACATCTCGAACGTGAAGTTTGTAGGATTGGGCATTGTGAATGGTCCCAATAATTGCTCGAAAGCAAGTGTCCTAATAAGCCCAACAACAAGAATTGTTATGATAGACTTTAATACCATCTTAAAATGTAGATTTTGACCTAATTCAACCTTATAAAATCGGCTTATGAGGTGAAGTTATACTAAAAAAAGTAGATTATAAGTCTAACTTAACCTTTCATAATGACTTTCTTAAGATGGTATTAGAGTCTATTCTAGTGAGTCTTGTTGGGCCTATTGGACCACTCACTATCGGATTATTATCAGATTATCTGTAGATGTTCAGTCTTGCAAACTTCATACTCAAAATGTCTAGTCCTCGATGTGAAGGAAGTGTGTTGGATATCCCACATCGATTAGTGGTACGACCAAAATATAGTATATAAGTGGGAGAACAATCATCATCTTACAAGTCGATTTTGTAGGGTAAAATTAGACCCAAACTCACATTTTAAGAATGACATCTCTAACTCACCTCACTCTAGCCTTTTGTACTTTTAAGTATGAACTATGCATAGACCAATTTACATCGGGCATTTGACCTTTTTTATTTGGAAGAATAGGGGTGAGAAGGATTTAACTTTATAGCAATTACATGATCATAGAAGTTTGATACCATTTCATGAAATAATTAGCTGGAAAACTTAAGCTATTAAGGTAAAGAGAGTGAAATGGTTTTATGTTTTTATAACATCTCTAACTATTATTATTTGGGCAAAATGCAAATTATCGGCTCCATAGAGGTTTTGCAAAACAAAACAAACAAAAAATACGTGCTTATAAATTAACCAAAATGAATCCTTGTGGTCACCCAAACGTGCATATTAACCAAAATGATTCCATTAGGGCTTCTACGTCACCGATGGAAACCACGACAAATGGCCATTCCTTGTCTTAATTGTCCAAATATGTTCCCAGCTTGGAGCACAGTTCTGGAATGAAATATGTTGAGGGGCCTTCACATGTTTGGGTTGCTGAAACATATGAGGAAGGAAAGAATAAAACAATGTCTAAGAAAAAGAAAGGCAAATATCCTAAAGGATTAAATCCTGTAAACCCAGGTTATCTGCTAGATCCAAAAAGTAGTTCTCCAAGAGGGAGAGACCAACTTTTGGGTCTGTTAGGAAGGACAAGAGTTGCTGAAGTGATAGGCTCATATAGTGTTGTAGTTAGTGGAAAGCATGACTCGGATGCCTCTTCCAAGTTCCAACAATTCAATCCAAATCCAAACTAGGCAACTTCATTCTTCAAGGAGTTAAACTGAATGTAGGTTTTGTGCTTACTAAGCTTTCATCCAATCCAATTCAAGAAAGAATTTTAAGAAATTACTAGGACTTATGGTTTTTGTCTTTTTGATATACATTTTCATTCGAGAGGATTTGTTAATGTTTTTTTCTCTAAGGTGTAGGTCCATATAAAATAATATGCAGAGTCTATCATAAAACCATCACTCCATTAGTGCCGGTGCTCTGCTTTAGTAAGGTGGATGGGGCACATGTGTGGGTGATTACGAGGATTTTTATGAGTTTAAAAGCACACATTTAATTTTCTTTACTAATATTTTATTGCACAGCCCTTGTTATGAATGGAGGGGTAATTTACCTTTTTTGCCCTATTATTATCACTAGTGGAAATTAGTTGAGATAATATGCGGTTACCATCAGTTTTAAGAATAAAACTCTATATAAAGACTTTTATAACCTTTATTAATTATTATTATGCAATTTTATAGAGTTAAAATTGTCAAAAATAATATTTACGCCAAAATAGAAAATCACTTTTATACATAAGCATAGATTCTTTTCAAAGTTTAATTTGCTGAATGTGTTGCAACTCAATTGGTTGGTTGGGGTAGTAGAATCGTTATCGTTCTTTGTCCTTGATGGTTGTTGCTTGTAAAAGTTAGTATAGTTCACTGGCTCTTTGATCGAACTAATACTCGTTCGGCCTTTGGTTGCAGAGGCACAGCTGTACATTCCAGGATACTTCATATTTATTCCAACAGAATATTGTTCGGTTAGGTTATCTTATAATTTTGTGAATTGATGTATATTTTTTCTATCCATAATTTTGTATGTAAAATTATTATCAATGTAATTGTAATTATAATCAGTTAATGGTAAGCAACTTTAACGGCTTCTTGGGACTTGATCAACAATTAAAAAAAAAAAAAAACTCAATTCACCTATCTACCAGTATGCATTTGCTTCAAGGCCTTTGTTTCATGCACCCGTCATTTTTTAAAAAATTCTCAAAGTAATCTTGCTTCAACATTTTCTAATTTGGGATGTATAAAATGTGTTATGGTCGGTATGTTAAATGTTTTCTAATAAACTTATTTTTAAACAGTAAATGATTGTTTCGTAGATATGTTCCAAATTACTTATTTTGAAATAAGGAAGTGTTATACTCCGGTTTTTATAATAAGTCATAATTTAAAATAAATTTTTGGTTTTTTTATAAGACATCTTATAGTTTTTAAAAAATATTAAATTATTTTTTTCTTTCTTTGTCCTTATTAAAGATTGTGAAAGTGTTTTTCTCTCACTTATTAAATTGGCATTTGCTATTTTTGTTAGTATTAGTATATAAGCTTTGACATGGGATAAGATTTTCATCTCGTGAAAATTTAATTGTGAGTAAAAAAGGTAAAATTAATAAATTATAATTATTTTTATAAATTTAATAAAATTAATTAATATAATTACTTTTATTAATTAAAAATATCTTATAATAAAGATTAGAGAGAGCATTATATACTCAATTTAGAATGAATGGTAAACATGTATTCTAGAATACCTAATTCGAAATGCAACTGATCTAGAGCACTCATTTAGAATGGCTTTATTTCAAAAGAATGAAAACATGTCATAAGAGTCAGCAAATTTTATTTTCATACGGGTTCATCTTATACATGTTACACTTAAAGTCATAAAGGTTCAAATTTTTACATACACACACTTTGTTTCATAAAAAAATTATATAAAAAAAGGATGTCATGTTTCTTATGTTGATCCAGTCATTTGTACTTGTGTATTAAAGCTTATTTTAAAAAGTTTTTTTTAGAAGAACTTCTAGGAGAGAAAAATAAAAAAAAAATTAAAAATAAATATTCTCTAAAAGCTAATATAAGTTATTTATAAGTTAAAAATAAGATTTTGGAAAAATTAATAGGATAAAACTCCTATAAATTAGCTTTTACAAATTATGAAGAAGTTTATTTCATATTTTTCTTCTTCTTTTTTTCTCCTAAAAGTGCTTTTTTGGAGAATATTACTTAAATAGACCCTAATAATAAAAATTTTCAACAAAAACTATCAACATACATAACAAAAACTATTTATAACATTATATCATATGAAGACCTTCCTCTAATTAAAAAACAATATCAAGACCATCAACAAGTTGAAAACGCTTTAACTCTTCATATCTTTTTAAACTCTACCAAGCTCTTAAACAAATTTATATGCACAAGCGAAGAGTCTTCACTCATGTCTAGTTAGGCCTCAAGTGCATGGTGTTTATGCTGACAACCAACTTTCATATAAACAATGTCTGCAGTGTATAAATACAAATTTATATTAAATTAATTTAGCAGTTGAACATCTTTTTCTTTCTTTCTTTTTTTAAGTTTTGTAACTCAAAATGTCTTTTTGTAGCACAAAAAATAATGGATCTATATGCACAAAATAAGATGGATCTCGCTTAATTGACCATTCCAATTTACTTGTATGACCTTTTTGTAATCTATTGGGTTTTATCTTTTTAGGAGGTAGACACATTGAAGTCATATCATAATTTCATTAAATTTATTTTCAATGATAAATTTTTAATATATCAAATTTTTAAAAATGTTTCAGAATGTCATGCATAAATCAAATGGTTATGATTTCGAAATTTACCCTTTTACTTTTAAAAAAATTATTTTGAAATTGAACTTCATATTTGATTGAATTTCCCTTTTACTTTTCAATTTTTGGTAGTTTAATGAGAGAGAAAAAACTAAAGTAAATGGTTTACAATATTAATTTTTAGTGTGAAGAGCAAATAAATCAAAAAAGTATAAATACGAAAAGAAAACAACTTCATCATCTTAATTATTAAGAAAATAAAAGACATTTAGTATCTCTTAAATTTTTTAAAATTAAAAAAGACAATGGAGTGAGTAGTTATTACATTAAGAAAACAACTTCATAATATGTGAATATAATGTGAGTAGTGGACTAGAGCAAGATAAGTGAGAAAAAATAGTACTGAAAAAGTAAAAAAGAAATAATGATAATTATTATACTTATGTGTAAATTTTGGAAAAAAATTATTTTACAAAAAATAGTGACTAAAAAACTGTTAAGTGTTTAACCAATACACTAGTTATAATATAATGAAAAAATGTCTAATAAAAATGTTTTTAAAAAAATCATCATCATTAATAGTATAAATTTTTATAAATTATCATGTTTTTAGTAACAAATTATAATTAAAAATTATTAATCTCTAATAAAGATAACAATTAAATTCATACTCACAAATAATGTTTAAATTTGTCCAAATTTTGACAAAAAAAATATCTTATTTGATTAGTTACGTGTAATATCTTATTTATTAAATTTAAAAAAGGGAAGAGTATGAGTATATCGTATCCATATTTATTCCCAGTTTTAAATTTTTTAAAATTTTATTTTATTTTCAGAATTTATTTAAAATTTATATAATTTTTATTTTATTTTAAATTTATATCAAATAAAACTTAATATAATTTTATAAATTTCAATTCTATGATAAAATTATTATTATTTTATATATTTTTTAAAAATATTTAATTAATTTTTATACAAATACTTGTATGTCTGATGCTCAATCAAGATGAGAATAAAACACAAATTTGATTATCGTAGACTAGAAAGATAAATATAACAAAGTCCTAGAAAAGGTAGGAAGATATTGAAAAGCGAACATGTCTCACCGCATTGACATACCTAGTGCCTAACCAAAACAGGTTGTACGGGCAATAGAGACCAGGAGTCTCGAAATCAAAAATCAAGTTTAATACTGTGTTTGGAGAGGATTGGTTAGTACAGTTATCTTGGTCTCAAAGTATGAGAACACGCTGAAAGCGGAAGATTCACTGTGTCTGAGTTATTTGTTGTTTGTGGTTTCGGTGTGTTTTCTTATTTGTCGCTTGTTATAATTCAACATCCATGTTATGGTCTTTTCTCTGATGGAGCTGTTTGATAAGAATTTGGTTCAGATTTTTTCCTTTGTGGATTTTAGAACGCAGAAGGAACATCTCTCTGAGTGTCTACTATAGCAGGTAGTGTTCTATGTTTCTGTGGGGCGTTTGTACTTGTATGCTGCCAGAACTCATGTCATGATCTTGATCATTTCCTTTTGTCTGTGTAAAGCTTGTTTTGTATTCACAGATTGCAAATTCCAACACAGCTTCATCTGCTCCTAATGACTTAAACTCTGGTGTGCCTAAACCAAAATTTATTTTCCTTGGTCTGATCCATTCATCCTCAAGTCACTTGGCATATTTGTAATTTTGTATCCAGGGATTTCGCAAGATTGACTCTGATAAATGGGAGTTTTTCAATGAAGCTTTCCAGCGAGGAAACAGACATCTTCTCAACAACATCCAAAGGCGCAGACCACCTCAATCCCAACAAGTTGGTACCTATATTAGGCCTCCTTCTGATGCAACTAAGGCTGGGCTTGAATTTGATATAGAAAAACTAAGGAACGAGAGGAGTTTTTTGATGCAAGAGGTGGTTGAGTTGAAGCAACAGCAGAGAACAACACTTCAACGTGCGAGGCAAGTGAATGAGAGGCTCCAATCTGCAGAGCTGATTCAGAAATAAATGGTTTCTTTCTTGGCCAAGTTATTTGAAAAATGAGAAGGAACAGAGAGATATAGGGTCTTCTAAAGTCAGGAGAATTGTCAAGCAGCACCAAGGCCAAACAGGAATATCAGATTCTTTGAATGAAGGGCAGATTGTAAGATACCAACCTGATTGGAGAAATATATCCATCTCTTCTCAAGTACTAGAAGTGTATCCAGTTTCACTTGAAGAGTCTCCAAAATACCTTTCTCAGGCATTGGCAAGAGAATTGAGTGAAGGCGTTGAGAATCTGACATCAGATGAATTGGCCATAGTGCATGAGATTGTGCCAGCTGCTGACACCATTGGGTTAAAGTCATCAAGCTTTAGACTTGTAGATACCCTTTTCAAAGGGAAAAATGTCACGAGCTCAAATCAAGAAGTTCTTGCAGATGAGTTTGTTTCTTTTGCAAAGGATTTGACCAATGAGGCAGAATTTCCAGAGTTTTCTCCTCTTGGAACTGAAGATAAATGGAACACCAGCTTTAATATTAGTGGTGCTCCTTCAAGCTCTGACAATGAGCCTTGGGGGAATCCTATCAATTACGAAGTGCCAGAATTTGGAGTCACAACTGGTATGTCAGACAAGTGGGATATTAGCTCACTTGTAAACAACAAAAAGAAATGATTGTTCAACGCTTGAAGATAATAGAAACTAGAAAGTCAAGCTGACCAGTGATCATCAGTCAAAAGATAATAGAAATAAAAATGTGATCCATTGGGCTTCATCTACTTCTGCACACATTGTGCTGTGTTTAATTCTCAGGGGTCCAATTATTGAATAATTTGATTCGTAACTGGAGTTCATTCACTGATCATCAGGTTTCATTCTTTTGTATTAGTTGTTTAATGGTAATATATATTGCTACCCAACTCTTATTCGAATATTGTTCTCCACAACTTCATATTTTATGAGTAGATTCATATTTAGTACTTAATGTTAAAGCATGTAATAAATATGAAAGATATGTGTGAAATGCAGAATATAAGAGACATTTGTCTTTAACAAAAAATTTAGCAAAGTCAGGATGAAAAGAAAAATGACTTGTCAGGCAATTTCCTGTGGATTATTAATACATGTATTAGGGAATTTGTTGAGACGCGAGAAGGGTAGATTGATGTGTAGAACAGTTTTACGGGAAGAAAAAATCAAATTTTAATGGGGGAAGTTAAAGCAACAAATGGTAGCTTTTATTTTTTCATGACGTCACCGTGATTTTGTTGGATAAAATAAATTCTTACGTTATCCGAACACACTACGAAATGTCCGATAGATCATCATTAGTGTCCTATGAGGGTTATGTGCATCATCTTTGTAATTATCTTGTAATTTTGCTTTGATAGTTTACCATTTCCATAGTTATGATGAGGATGTAGGCTTTTTGACCAAAGTGGGGTCGTTGACCAAGTTATTTACCTAAATGGGGCTGTTTTGAATTTATTTACGCCTTTGGAGCTGTTTGCCACGTGACCTTTTTTACACTTCAGGAAAGCCATGAAAGTCATATTAATAGTGTCGCTACAGCCTATAGCGCCACAAAACAGTTTCAATAAAGTCGCTGTAACCTAAAGCGCCACCTATATAAAAAAATAATTATTTTTAATAAGAAATATAGTGGCGCTGTAGGCCACAGCGCCAGTTAATAATAAATTAATTTTAATAATTAAAATGTGATAAAAAAAAACAAGTTATAATTTAAAAAAAAAAAAGGAAACAGAACCTACAGCCTAAAGCGCCACATATATAAAAAAATAATTATTTTTAATAATTAAAATGTCATAAAAAAACAAATTATTTAATAATTTTTTTAAAAAAATAGAAAACTAGTGGCGCTGTAGGCCACAGTGCCAGTTTATAAAAAATTAATTTTAATAATTAAAATGTGATAAATAAAAAAAAGAAGTTATAATTTAAAAAAAAAAAAAAAGAAACAGAATGTACAGCGCCAGTTTTAAAAAAAAATATTTATAATAATTAAAATGTGATAAAAAAGAATTTATTTAATAATTTAAAAAAAAAAGAAATATAGTGACGCTGTAGGCCACAACGTCACATATTTTAAAAATTAAAAACGTAAATAGAAAATTAAAAATGTATAAAATAAAGAAAAATCAGAAATAGCTAAATATATATATATATATTTTTATGATATGCGTAAATAAAATAAAATTTGATAAAAAAACAACTTTTTGAATAATTTAAAAAAAAAATGTGACGTTGTGCCCTACAGCGACACAGGGGCGCTGTAGGCCACAGCGACACATATTTTAAAAATTAAAAAACGTAAATAGAAAATTAAAAATGTATAAAATAAAGAAAAATCAGAAATAGCTAAATATATAAATATATATTTTTATGAAATGCGTAAATAAATTAAAAGTTGATAAAAAACTACTTTTTGAATAATTTAAAAAAAAAAATGTGGCGCTGTGGCCTACAGCGACACTGCGGCACTGTAGGCCACAGTGACACAGGTGGTGGTTGAGAAATTTATTACAGTGGCCACGTGTCAAATTACCGCTGATTTAACCAGTAGTAATTTGACACGTGGCTTTATACAGTTAAAAAAAAAAAAGAACTGCCTATATAAGGGTTTTTACCCTCAGATGGTCCCCCCTCTCAATTTGCTTTCCAGACGAATCTCCATCAGGTAAATTTTTTTTTTTTATTTATCTGCTTAATTTATTTAAAAATTATTCACTTTGATTACCTTTAAGTTGTTGTTAAGTTTTAACAAAATTTAATATACACATCTAAAGTGATATGAACTTTCAATCTAACGGTTAGATTTACAAAATTCACATTTAATATAAAATTATTAAGGAGTGTAATACTTAGTAAAAGTTACAGTAGTGTAATTATAACCCCCCCCCCTCTCTCTCTCTCTCTATATATATATATAT